TGGCATAGACCCGTTGAAGGCCTCCTCAGCAGACCTCTTGCTGTTCTCCATGCCTTCAAACCTATGGGAAGGTAGAATCACACCAAAGATATGGAAGGTTTGGGATGAAGCAGGTTGTTTTTTTATCCACAGTCGTGACCCGTATATATTGCCCAGGAGGTGAGAAGATAGGCTTCGCCGGGGTTATGGAATTAAAGAAAGATATGGAAATGGATCGACACTCCAGAAATTCAGGGGACGGATCACGAAGAGACAACAAATTCAGACTTATTGCTTCTCATAATTACAAAATATCGTGGGATTGATACGAAAGGTTTACGTTGACTGGCGATTATCCCACCAAAACTTCTTTGGATTGAAGGGAGTCCGAATTCCCACAAGGCCGAAGGTCATCATAGACCAAGTCACATCGGCCTGTTGATAAAATTGCATCAGGGGAAGGGGAAAGGCCGCCTGCTTAAAAGATGCCCATATACCCAATGATTTCTCGGTGACTGGGAAACAATGGGAAAGAAAGCCGCCTACTAAAAATTGCCCATTTCTCGGTGGCTGGGAAACCGTGGGAAAGAAGTCTGTGGTTTTCCTGACAGGCATTTGATGAAGCGAACAAGGGGAAGGTGTCCACATATTTTAGTCCTTGCAAACACTAGAACAGCTCTACGATCATGGTGAGAAAACTCAGGTGATGTCACAAGAATTCCTCTAACCACAGTAGCTGGTCCTCTTGCTTGATAAGACGCTAAAATGAGCGATACAATCACCCACAAGAATTCTTCTAACCACTCAAGATCCATATAGCGAAGAATTAGACCATGGAGGGTCCGGTGGAGCCAAGGGCACTCGAGGAAGCAAGCAGAAGAGAAACATAACTATGTTGTTGTGTTGCTCTCGCTAGAGTCAGATAGACATTTTATTGTCGGCCTCGAAAGATGGATCCAAGCGCTCGTGAAGCAATGATGCTCTCGTAAAGTTTTGAAGCATGGGCTCATAAGCTAGCAAAGATGATGACAGATAGTAGACCCCAGATCAAGATTCTCTACCCGTGACTATGGAGGCACAGGCATGGAAATTTTAGAATAAAATTACTTTTATCCCAAAATTGGGGGGCATGTGTTTACACCAAAATTTGAGAAGAGGAATACGGGAACTCGAAGCTCCCAAGATCATGTCATCAAGGAATCGATTGCATAAACGTTGATATCAGCTGATTCAAATACAGCACTGGAATAGGCTCTCTTCAGATGGTGCCAGCAGATAATGATAAAAGCTACGGTTGGCGTCGGGAGAAACATGTCAGACTCTACAAAAAGAGAAAGATTAGGGTCCAAGTTATCTTAAAATAGGAATGTTTTTTCTTATGCCAAAGATTGTAGCGAGTCGTGCGTAAGTAGGTTTCATGCTTAGATTTCGGGTATAAATATTGGACCCTGGCTATTGTAAAAGAGGATCCAATCAATCAAATACAATTTACTTTTTTGGCTCTGTGCCAACCCTTAGGAGTAGGAGTAGAGTAGATCTCGATGAGTTCTTCAGCAAGCAGGGCTGCATCGGTCCGGCCGACCTTCGGCTTGTCTATAAGTACCGTCATTGCTTATGCTTCTGTTTGTACGACTGTATCAATCCGGTCGACCTCCACTACAAACTCTAGTATAAGCTAGTTATCGACTCTTGTCTAGTTCAAGTACGGCTGCATCGATCCAGTCGACTTCCACTACTCAACAAAAGAATTCAAGCCAGCATTCTTTTGCATATTTAAGTACACTCTAGTACACTAAACACTATGCCTACAGTTCACAGTTGGTACACATGAGGTGTAGCCATGCCCTTCTAGAAAGAAACCAACCAATCAACTAGCAGCAGCTCACAAACACAGTGAATCTCTTTGACTAGGCCATGACTGAGATTAAAATATTTTAGGAGAGCTAGAGTAGTTGTAGTACAAGAGGGGCTTAGTATAGGTGAAAGGGCGTTGCCTCCATCGAAGTAGCAGTCACTTAGTTCTAGGCCATCTCCCCACTCAGGGTTGAGGACTCCAGAAAAACACCTCGTGCACTCTTTGCTTGAGAAAAAAACACCAACTCTTCCACCAGCACAAGATGGTGACTTGATCACCATGGAGAGTGACATGGGGTGAGAAGGGGGGCTGACCAGGAGAGGAAGTCACCAAAGAGCCCAAGTGCTGCAAGCAAATCCAAAATCACATTTGAAGACCTGCAAGAGAAGGAGCACGTGTCTAATGGAAAATAAGTCCAAGGTTGGAGCTAAACGTCATCAAGATTAAGGTAAGGTTCACGAGCACATCTCAGAATATCTCTTCTTCTCTCTACCAAGATCACAAAGCACCTTTCATGGGAAGAACCATCTGTTCTAGAGCAACACAACAGTTAGGTGCTAAATAATATTTTAGGCCAGGAGAGATATGCCAACTATTATTAGAACAGGAACAAGCATTCCTTCTTTAGTAGAAAGCTACACATAAAAATACTTGAGCCTTGGCTAAAACACTAACACAAGAACCCGTACATCTAGAGCTCTCAAGTATATATTTTTGAGTTATAGAGTTACATGCTAGGTTAAAAAAAACAACATGAAGATGTGAGGGGGAAGAACTCACTGTCAGGTTGGGGAGGGTTGTTGCTCGAGTCCAAATCTCCGCACATTAGCATGCTCGGGCCTCTGTGGCTCTGCCTGGGCGCCATGGTTGCCGAACTCGGCACCTCGGTGAAGCACGCCGCCGCCGCCGCCGACCTGCAAACATGAGTGAGAGAAATCAAGGGAAATCGAAGGGGAAAACCAGTGCATAGTAGCTGGAAACCACAAAAATTTGTTTTGGGTAGGAATTCTGGAGAGCCCAGCAGCCATGGTCGTCGATCTGGAGGAAGGGGAAGGAAGCAGAGAGAAAGAAAGGGAGAGAGAAGTGCGTGCGTTGGTCACTGGGTCTGTTGACTGCTAGTGGGCATGTTTGGCTGGTATTAAAGCCGGTTGATAAGCCAGCTGAAGCTATTTTGTTGTGAGAGAAAAATACTATAGATTTTAATTGATAAGCCGGCTGATAAGTTCAAGCGAACGGGCCCGGCAAAGTAGCAGTAGTAGACTAGTAGTAGTACTAGTACTGTGCGGTGGAGGGCTTCAGGTTCAGCTCACATGAGGATGAAAAGTGCTTAACAGTACTAAATTAATTTAATGATTTACTAAGCACAGCTATGCAATCCCTATTTTATAAATCACAGCACAATGGATCCTAATTACCAGGAAGCTATTTCTTGACTGCAGGATGAACACATGGTTACGTATGTGCTAAGTATATATACTCTTTTTCTATCTTGCTAAATACCAATATATATTTATACTAATTATAGGAAGCGAGCAAAGTCAGGCGTAGGAACCTCCAGCGAACCAAACTGAGCCCGAGTTGAATCTTAACGACTCAGGCAAGAATCCTTTGATCATTCTCTCCTTGAGTTTTTATACAAAGGCCCTGTTCGCTTCTCTTATAATCTGTCTTTTTCAACTTATTTTTTTTAGCTGGAACAATGTTTTTCTCTCACAACAAATCAGCCGGAACAGTGTTTTGGTTTGTTTTTTCAGCGAAGCGAACGGGGCCAAAGTTTGAGAAAATAAAAGTAACCTACATTAAATATTATTTTCTGAAATTGACTATGGATGGATGACATTTGAATTTGATGACATGGGGTTAGCTGATGGAGGAACTAATTCCCTACTATATATTTGGATGAAAAAGATTGGTGGGACTAATAACCAACTCTCACTTGTGTTATTGGGCCGTATAAATTCGTGTCAACCATGAACTCGTTTGGGACGAGCCGATTCTAGTACCCATGAAGTTGTTGTATAATCCCTATGGTAAGTGAGAAGAGGGTTGGGTGATGAAATCCATAATCAGGTGTCGATGAAGCACACCCAGGCGCATATATTAGCGCACGTAGATAGATGTGGATGTATAATTATACGAAATGGGGAAAGTTCTGTATCTTGACCATGAGTCGCACCGAAGGAAGTGCGATGGAAAATTGGTCAAGGTAATTATGACTAAAGTGATACAAACCTACGCAGGGTTAAATCATGAATTCATGTCATGTCTATTGGATCAAAGGCTACGAGAACCTATGGGTGGCTCTTTCTCAAGATATAAGTGACAGTAGTGTTTTTAAACTAAACTTGACCTTTTCTACAAATGCTATTTTGAACAGCAAGATGATATATTTATTGATCATTTGAGATGACCAAATTGCATTGTATTGATATTTATATGCTTGCTGCATTGTATTGATATTTATATGCTTGCTGAGTACGTGTTGTATTCACTCTTGTTAACTCTCCCTCTTCAGAGAATCCCTAAGAGTGTGCTCAACGGTCTCTAGATGATAGTTATGTCTATACAGATTGGGATGACTATGAGGAAGCTAGTCAAGTTGCTGCCACCTCCAATGGTGGATGGGATGAATAAATGATTCTCTTAGTTCAGTTATGTATGTCAAGGGTGATATGTCTTTATCGCTCACCTAGTAATCTAGTTTGGACTTCTATATGTTGGGCTTGTAATAATACGCAAACATGTGACGCTTCTTTAAAGACTTAAGTACGTAGGATGGTACTGTAATATTTAACTATTCTCTGTTGTCAACTTTGAATATGGTTTATTATTCGATAAATCTTGTACCTGTGGAGTAATAAATCATAGGCAGGGTTATTATGTAAAGTGGTAATGACTCTGGTCGTCACAACTGAACTGGGACAAAGCGCTTCTTTACGCTGATCCTAAGGTGACTGGACACAGTATACACAAACACGATGATGCACCTGCTCAACAAGCACCCCAAGGACCATGCTATCCATGAAATCTTTTACCCCAGTCGACCCTCCTATCTTTTTTTCTCTTTTTTTTTTGACTTGCTGTCTGAAATTCCTCCAGGGCCTTCTCAGGATTTATCTGCATCAAAACTCCAAACATGTCCCACATAAGAACCATGCACATCAATCTATTCTAAGCATTCACAGTAGAGCACTCTCCTATTGTTTCCACTAAAAAAATCTATTCTAGGCATTATGAATTTAACACTGTAAGTTGTCAACTCATCACACTTATTGTAGTTCCAATGGCATAGCCCTGTCAGAAGATTGTAACCATTCATAAATATGTTTCGAAGAAAAACTTCCTGTTGTGATTTTAGTCACGCTGTCAAACAAGATCTCACGCTCGTGATTCGTGAAACAATGGATCGTTGTCATTTTGAGAGTTCAGTGTTCTGTACATGTGACATGTGTGATGCGTGGATCATGCACGACATGCAAAGATCGGCGTTGCGCATGCGCAGAGGGTAGTGTTGTGCGTATACTAACCTGCACCGAGGATCACGACCTGCGGGTCGCCGCCGAGCGCGGCAACGGCGGCCTCGACGCGGGCGTCGAACCAGAGCGTCCGGATGGCGATCATGACGCCGTGCACCTCCCTGGCGCCAGCGCTCTCGTCGCGCCGCATCTTGTCGTGCAGCCCCCTGAGGTAGCGCTCCCCGGCTAGCACACCCCCGGCCGCCGGTCGCACACCGCACGGCCCCACAGCGCCCGCGCCGCCGCCGTCTGGCACGCGTTCTGGGCCGGGCGGCCCCACTCCGCCTCCACCCGCGCGTGCAGCGCCCGCCCGCCCTCCGGCGCTAGCTGCGCCATCGCCACCTGCTACAGCAGCGCCAGGGCCGCCCTCGCGCGTGTCTCGGACCTGCTCCTCGCCGCAGGCATACGATGGCGACTCGCCACGGCAGCGGCAAGGCTGAACTCCACCGCCGAGGTTGCCCATGGTCTGCTCGTCCAGTGCAGCGCCACCTTTCCTGGTCACCGGCGTTAGGGCCACTCTGCCGCTCATCCATGGTTGGTCTGGATCTAAGAGAAATCAAGGAAGGAGAAAGAATAGGAAACTCCCTTTTGCAGACCACGTATTCACGTATAGAGGAGGTGACTGTGACAACTTGTCAAATGACTGGGAGGCGCGATCACAGAGCAATTGTAGGGGGAGGTGTGATCTTGCACCGTGATCAATCACGGTGATCACGGTTCAAATTGTAGAAGGGGAGAGGAGAGACACGATCAATCACAGGGATCACGCGCCGAAACTGGCGGCTGGAACGATGGTTCCTGACCGGATAGGATCGGACCGCGGGCAAACCGGCAAGAATGGCGCAATGCAAGAGGCAAAGATATTGGAGAGTCACGCGTGGGGGATCTGGCCGCGGGAGGACGAGGACACACACGATCTTGACCATTGGATTTGAGTAAGGAGATAGAAGATTTAGACGTACTAAATCTTGACAGTCCTCTTGGGTTCACTTTTCTGCATGGATTGATGGGGGGCTTCTCAGCGGTGGGCATTTTTTTTTGCACATTTCCTATCCTACAGGTGCCTGAAAGTGAAGATGGGACTACCAGCAAGTGTGAAGGTGTTCGGTCAGTGTTGAGAATGATTACTGATCGTTGGATTTAGACTAGATGGATGATGTTCATCGTCTGAAAAGAATGCAAAAATCAGGCGCCTGTGATTTAGCAAGTCCCTTTTTTTTGTGGGTTTAGCAAAGATAAAGTTGGTGAATTAGTAGGGTAGAAAAAGAAAAGAAAAGTGAAAAAACCCAAAGTGGACAACTGGCCCAGCTAGTTAGGGAGCAAGGGGCTGTTTGGTTGCTAGCCAAACTTTGCCATACTTCACCTTAGACAAGTTTGACTATAAGTTGGTAAGTGTTTGGTTGGCAACTAAGCTTAGGCTTGATTTTTTTGGGCTCCACATGTCAGAGGTCGAGTAAAAAAGTGTGGCAAGATTCCTTTAGACATGGCAAAGTGTGGCAATCAATTTGTTAGCCGTATTTTTTGTGGCTTGCCACGCTTACCTAAGATTAGTTGTGATAGAATATGGCTAGGAACCAAACATGCTCCAAGCCGGTGTGTGTGTGGACAGTGCAAGACAGTACGAGTGCAAGGGCACAAACAATGCAAGATCGAATTTTAATCTTGCACACAGCATGCATTGCATGGCTGCAAACACTCACAAGTCACAATTTGGGGCCCTAGAGTAGACTTGATAGATGGGGGAAGGAACAAGCGAGTGTGGACCGTGCGGTCTTGGTTGATGTACGTTATTCCACAAGGACGACTACGTTTGGCCGTTTGGGGCGAGACAAGACGGCGATGGAGTGCATGCATGGCCACCATTAATATTTCGCGTTGATTGGCTCCAATTAATTTCCATCCATCGACCATCTCCGTTGGTCGTCTCAATCTCATCATGTGCCGTGCATGCATTCATACTACTAGGGTTAGTTGTGTTGTGTTTCATAAGTTCAAATCCCAACCCTTCAAACAAGGGAACTAATTAATAGTAGCTCAACAAATGTGGTCGTATATGTGTAACTTGTTTGGATCCAACCAGCTAATGAAACCGGCTAATAGCTTGTATCAGTGGGGCTATCGGCAAACCTATTAGCAAAGCTTCCCTTGGATCATCAGATAAATAGTTAGTATGCTACTTGGGCACTGTTGGGGTCTATAGAGCTAATAGTTAGCTACTAATCACTACTTAATCGAATCCAAACAATTGTAGCTAATAGTTTAACTATTTGTTAGCTGAATGTCCAACTAACAACTATTTCAATAGTTTAGCCAAAACTAGCTAATAGCAACTGCTATTAGCAATGAACTATTAGCTAGCTAACTATTAGCAGCTAGCTAATAGTAGGACCTTAGCTAATAGAGCCAACTAATAAATTTTTATTAGCTAAATAGTTTATTTTTGAACTATTAGCGCTTTGGTGTTTGGATCCACTAGAGCTATTTTTAGTAGCTGACTATATACTTAGGTCATGGGATCCAAACGGAACCCTATGTGGCCCTAATTTGTTTGTTGGTACCTTGACCTTAGCTAATAGAGCCAACTAATAAATTTTTATTAGCTAAATAGTTTATTTTTGAACTATTAGCGCTTTGGTGTTTGGATCCACTAGAGCTATTTTTAGTAGCTGACTATATACTTAGGTCATGGGATCCAAACGGGCCCTATGTGGCCCTAATTTGTTTGTTAGTACCTCACTATTTGGATTCATTAGCTGCTAATAGTTAGCTAGCTAATAGGTCATAGTTAATACTAGCTAGCTAAGTACTAGCTGCTGTTATTTTAATTGGTTTGGTCCAACTAGTGAGACTGTTGTTGGCTCGGTATTAGCTAATATCAAATAGCTACGCTATTAGCTAGTTGGACCCGTTTGAATCCGAAGGTAAGCAACTATAACTATTAGCTACATGGATCCAAACAAGACCCTAGCTAACTTGGGTTAAAAGTAGCAACTGGCAACGAAAAGGATCGAAACATTCTCTTGCTAATGGCGCCAAAACAGCACACGTTTAGAGCAGAACAATTCCGAGGGCAAAATTGACTTGTAGCATGATTACACATATCTATTGGCTCTTGAATCCAAACAACACATGGTTAATAGTATGAGCTAGCTAACAATTAACCCTAGGCATCATTAGCCAGCCGATCCAAATGGCCCTAGCTAGTACTAGCAGCATATAGCAATAGTGGGCATAGATTAAGGAAAGCAACAGCGCTGTGGCTACCCACGAGTTGGCAACTTTGCTATGTTAAATTGTTAATTACTTATGGGTCTCCTTGGAAGAATATACCTAAGCATGTGTGGTTATCATGCATGTATGTATGTGCGGCATGTGCATGGCCTGATAACAGAAGCGCATAAAAGGGACCCTCTCATCTGTTTCTGTTGTTGTTGCTCTGCTCTTCCCCACTTATGAATTTATTTATTTATGATGATGAGCATGGGCCATGCATGCAGTGCAGCAGCAATTAGACTGCTGTTCGATCAGCAATTATACTATGTACTTATGTGCAAGCATGATCGCCGTCGTCATCAGTGTGTCATTGTGAAATGGTCTGTAACAAGGGCCAAGAATATAGTCATGCTCACGCCAGGTTAATAATCTTTGTCAACACTAATCGTAGCTTCCCAACAAGGACGTTTTAACACCCGATTTCCGTCGTTTCTTCCCTCCTGTGGCTGTGACAGGGAGTGCGCTTGCAGCGGATACGACCAAAGTGTTGGATGGAGTTTGGTGCGGAATTTCTTCGTCAGGCCTGCAAAAAGATCTTCTTCAGTACTATATTATATCATACACGAGTCTCCAGTGCAGACACAAACAAAACATAAATGGGAATGGGAATGCAAATGCAAATGCAACGCTGAAAAACTAGTAAAATACAGCATGGATGATGCCCGTGCGTGTGTGTGTGTGTGTGTGTGTGTGTGTGTGTGTGTGTTTAATTAGCATTACTCTCTCGCTCGACAGCGTTTGACAGCACAACAAACTTCAATTATATTGTTGCGTGCCGATTTGTTTGGTGTAACAAAACTCCATCTTGTTCATTTCATTTCATTACCAGGTGTACATGTCATCAGAGAATTGTGGGTATATTATTCTTTGGATTATAGTATAATATAAATTAATGGTCTACTAGTGTCCTGAGAGGCCGACACGCTTGTCACGCGGCCCTAGTCGTTCACCGGCCGGCTTTGTTGTTATTGTGGGTATATTATTCTTTGGATTAACGCAAAGCATAGCGATCGGATCGGATCGGATCCGTCCATTGCATTGGTTGGTAGAGTTATGTGCGATACACTTCTGCCTGCACTACTACGCCCTGTTAGCTTTAGTACAAAGTTTTTTTTTTCTTTAGATCTATGCTTTTCTGTAATTAATTGGAATAATTCATAACTGCAGTTTCTATGGTTTAATTGTGATGAAATTTTTATGGTGGGCTAATTATTGTATGATTGAACTGTAGTAAAAATTTCATATTCATTTGATCATGTGTAGCTTAGTTATAGATTTATTTATATTTAACAAGCATAAATCTAAATAAAATCTAAAACTAAGTTATACATGATCCAATAAGTATGAAACTTTTACTACAGTTTAAGCATACAATAATTAGTCCACCATAAAAATTTCACCATAATTAGACCATAGAAACTGTAGCTATGAATTATTCTATTTAATTACAGAAAAGCATAGATCTAAAGCTACAACAAAAACTTTATACTAAAGCATAGCATATTATATGTTCACTATGAAGATATAATCATGTGGAGTCCAATAAAATTAGATTTTCCATTTATGATTTTTCTGTGATTTACTATGATTTTTCAAAGATTTAGCCGAAATAAATAAAAAAGAAAAAGACAAAATCGCCTTCAAAACCGCTTATAACCAGGTCAGGGAGGTAAGATAAACGGTTTTAAAAGTTGAGAAGGTGTTTTGCCCGATTTTAGAGTTAAGTGAGGAAAAGCGGACTTTCGCGAAAGTCGAGGATGTAACGTGGACTTTTTTTTCCTTTCCTTGCTTTGAACAGCAAGGCACCAAGCGAAGTTCGGCCCAGCCCATGAATTTCGTATGGCCCATTACCACCCAATTCATGCCATCGTGCCGCCCGGCTGCATGCCCACAGGCCACAGCCCACTTCTCCTTCTCGTCCTCCCTTGTTTTTGGGCTTGATTGCTAGGATTGTGAGTCCGACGGCAATGGCGGCGGCGGCGACTCCCATGCCAGATTGTCTTGCGGCCGGCGAGCCTGACGATGACCCGCACCGTATCTACCCCATCCTTGTTGCTCCGTCGACGCTGAACTCGGCTCCCTTGTTCCCGTTCTGGTGAGATGGATCCCTGCAGCGGCGCGGCTAGCTCCCCTTACCGCGACCTCCCGCGCCGGCGAGAAGCGACAAGGACAGGAACACCAGCGCCCTGCTTCGTCGACCTGACCGCGTAGGACCCCAGCGCAAGGTACATGCCCTCTTGCCCGTCTCTCCTTCAC